CCCCGCCTCGGCCCCCTCCTCTGCCCTCTCCTACCCCCACTCCTCCCTCCCCTCGCGTCCCCACCTCCCCGTATCCCCCCCCCTCCCCCCTCTTCCTCCCCCTCCTCGACCTCCGCCTTGCCCTCCTCCTCCTTATTTCCCCCCCTTCCCCCCCCCTCCCCCTCCCCCTCCACCGCGGCCCCCTCATGCAGGCCCCCCCCCCCTTGGCGCCGCCGGCGCCGCCTGCGAGACGAGCACGTGCAGCAGCGTGATGCGCTGGTCGCTGGCCGACTGCCGCCGAGGGGGGGTGGAGCGTCGATTGGCTCGAGCATTTTGGCGCGAAGCCGGCACTCTCAGGCGAGGGGTGAGCCAGCACTTGGCTTGACAATGAACGGATTGCGACTTCTGCTGCAATTGTTTTTTTGATTCACGAGTATGCCCCAATCCTGCCGCCTTTGCGTTATACGCTCAGCTGTTCACAGGGCACCACACTTCGCCGGGAAGCAACTTCACGTGCTCCTCTGCAAAACGGAATACGTACCCCCGCGCAGATGCTTTTAACCCTCGCGCGACCTTTGACACTAACTCAGGAGTCAAATCAGATTTGTTTGCCGCTTCGGAAATGGACACATAACGCTGAATACTCCCACCGTCAACGGATGAACGCAATATTGGCTTGGAAATACGAGCTGCCCCGTTTCTGCGGTTCGGATTCTCTGCAAAAGAGTGGCGAGTGTTCTCTGCTGGAGTTACATATTGTAAGTTGTGAACGTGATTGTTGCCAGGATCAAGATCGATGTGATTGACATGGGTGTGATACGGCGTAGGGGGAGGTCCCAGAAAAGCAGCCGCAACTAACCGATGGACGAACTGGTGAGTGTAAACGCCGTCGAACACCAGGGTGGTCGTATGATATCCGGAAGATCTTTTGTGACCCCAGCTGATGATCCCCGACCTCGACCTGATACGGCCGTAATTGCTGACCTGCTTGCGTGGTACGTCTACCCTTGAAGCAGGATGAACAGCATTTCGCCACTCTTCGGCTTGAAGCAGAGAAGGTTCAACCTGCGCCGCGAATTTAAATTCAAACCCCATTGCAACATTCTGAGTGTTGCTGCAACGCTTAGCAATAGTTGAAGACGAGGTCCCCGATGCCAATGCAGCACTGCGTATTGTTGCGAATTCGGTCCATTCTAGTTCTCCTATGCGGCGACGCAACACAGGCTTGGAATTATGCAGGCCGACGCGTCCAGACAAGCCCATACAAACCATGTGCCTGATATTTTCTGCGCTTGACACATATTCCAAATTATCGACGTGGTTGTTCCACTTGATGCCGTCTTTGTGGTTCACCAGGAGTCGATCCATATCAGCCTGGGGGTCCCAAGAAAGCCCTTGCAACTAGACGGTGTACCAATGCGGTACGTCCGCGAATTTTTACGGTCCGGTATCCATGAGGATGAACGGAACCCCAATATATATTACCAATGGAATTCATGCAACGTCCAAAAGAACTTACCTGCCATCCACAACCTGCGAGATCTGCAAAACCACGGGACACCAAAGAATAACAAAACGAATTCGCACAGGGCTCCCAGCCTTTACTGCCCTGGCTTGATGCCAACGCTTGAGCACTGGAGCTAGCAACACGCCATCGAATGCAGGCTCCAAGAGAGAAAAGAGGACGCACGCCCAAATTCATTATCTACCCAACGTGCCTTAAGCCAAAGCAGATACACGCTTTGAGCCACAAGGCTACTTGAGCCAAAATGGCCAAGGATTCTGCTGCAATCGCTTTGAGCCGTCTTTCTGCCTCGCTTTGGCTGGGACTAGGATCCGCTTCCCTCAGGACCTCCCTCCCTCCAGACCCGTCCCTCCCAGGTTGAGCACGGCTTGTTCGGGGCTCCGGTCAGCGGGGCTGATGGCTGAGGCTCCAGCCGCTCGTGCTCCCGCTGCCCTCGCTTGCCCTCCAACCTGCCCCTCAGCCCGCCAGGGCATGCACCCCGCTCACAAGTCGGGCGCTGCCTCGTGGGGGGCGGCGATCAGTGGGGCGGGAGAGGCACCTCTCGTGCCCCTCTTGGGCCCTTGAGGACACAAGATATGCACCTTTCTGAGAGATAATCATCGCGTTGGGGGGGAGAGGTTGGGAAGACACAGGGGTTGTTCGGTAGAAGTTCGGAAGTTTGTCCTGGAGTTCGTGGGTTTGCTGTGCTGTCGCTCCCCTGCGGGACGCCGACCCTTTCCATGCACAGCGTTGTGTTCAACGCCGTCCGCAGCCACACGGCAAACTGACAAGCGGGAGGCAATCCCAGGCGGCCGCACGCTATCTTCATCAACGGAAGGTACGCCCGGTCACTGCGAGGACCATATTCTGCTACCCTGCCAGGCCGCCCACTCACGGAATCATCCGCTTCTTGCACCCCATGTCCAAGGTGGTGGCCGCCGAGTGGTCGTCCTCCCCGAGGAGGCCGCCCACCGGAGCCTTTGTCTTGTCCAACCCCTTCACGAGGATGTTCAAATACTTCGCGCTCTGGACGGTGGGACAGTGCACAATCTTGACACGAATCTTGTTGTGAAAGTTCATCCGCTGTGATAAAAAAGAAAACAAAAGTTAAAGTTCATCCGCTGTGCCTTGCCCGGCCTCACGGCCTCGGCGACCCAACGCAGGTCCGCCGCCTTATGGCCCTGAGCCCACGTGCCGCTGATGTTGATCTCAGTAAAATATTATCCCGGCAAAGCAACCTAACAGCGATGTGTAGGAGCATATCTGGAAGCATTCCCCTTAAGATTCAGATAAGAATCCTGTTGTAGAATTCTGCTGTTCTCGCAGTCGTGGTCGCATTCGCGATGGCAGTCGCAGTGGCAACAGCAGTCGCAGTCACAGCCTCAGCCTCAGCCTGCCTCAGCCTCAGCCTCAGCCTGCCTCAGCCTCAGCCTGCCTCAGCCTCGACCTCAGCCTGCTTCAGCCTCAACATCAGTCTGCCTTCAGCCTCGGCCTCAGCCTGCCTCAGCCTCACCCTCAGCCTGCATCAGCCTCAGCCTGCCTCAGCCTCGCCTTCAGCCTGCTTCAGCCTCAACATCAGTCTGCCTTCAGCCTCGGCCTCAGCCTGCCTCAGCCTCACCCTGCATCAGCCTCAGCCTCAGCCTCAGCCTGCCTCAGCATCAGCCTGCCTCAGCCTCAGCCTCAGCCTGCTGCTGCCTCAGCCTCAGCCTGCTTCAGCCTCAGCCTCAATCTGCCTTCAGCCTCGGCCTCAGCCTCAGCCTGCCTCAGCCTCAGCCTGCATCAGCCTCAGCCTCAGCCTCAGCCTGCCACAGCATCAGCCTGCCTCAGCCACAGCCTCAGCCTGCCTCAGCCTCAGCCTCAGCCTGCTTCAGCCTCAGCCTCAGTCTGCCTTCAGCCTTGGCCTCAGCCTCAGCCTGCCTCAGCCTCTGCCTGCATCAGCCTCAGCCTCAGCCTCAGCCTGCCTCAGCATCAGCCTGCCTCAGCCTCAGCCTCAGCCTGCCTCAGCCTCAGCCTCAGCCTGCTTCAGCCTCAGCCTCAGTCTGCCTTCAGCCTCGGCCTCAGCCACAGCCTGCCTCAGCCTGAGCCTGCCTCAGCCTCAGCCTCAGCCTCAGCCTGCCTCAGCCTCAGCCTGCCTCAGCCTCAGCCTCAGCCTGCCTCAGCCTCAGCCTGCCTCAGCCTCAGCCTCCGCCTGCTTCAGCCTCAGCCTCAGTCTGCCTTCAGCCTCGGCCTCAGCCTCAGCCTGCCTCAGCCTCAGCCTGCATCAGCCTCAGCCTCAGCCTCAGCCTGCCTCAGCATCAGCCTGCCTCAGCCTCAGCCTCAGCCTGCCTCAGCCTCAGCCTCAGCCTGCTTCAGCCTCATCCTCAAAACAACAATACAACACAAACAAAAAAAAAAATAATCAACAACAGTCAAGCAAACAAAAATCAATCACAACAAAAACATAAATCAAAAATCTAAATCACAAAAATCAATCAAACAAAAAAACAAACACATAAGACATATCATCTGCCTTCCAGCCTCGGCCTCCAGCCTCAGGCTGCCTCGCCTCAGCTCATCAGCCTCAGTACCTCCCTCAGCCTGCCTCAGCATTCAGCCTCCATCAGCCTCAGCCTCAGCCTGCCTCAGCCTCAGCCTGCCTCAGCCTCAGCCTCAGCCTGCTTCAGCCTCAGCCTCAGTCTGCCTTCAGCCTCGGCGTCAGCCTCAGCCTGCCTCAGCCTCAGCCTCCATCAGCCTCAGCCTCAGCCTCAGCCTGCCTCAGCATCAGCCTGCCTCAGCCTCAGCCTCAGCCTGCCTCTGCCTCAGCCTCAGCCTGCTTCAGCCTCAGCCTCAGTCTGCCGTCGGCCTCGGCCTCAGCCTCAGCCTGCCTCAGCCTCAGCCTGCATCATCCTCAGCCTCAGCCTCAGCCTGCCTCAGCATCAGCCTGCCTCAGCCTCAGCCTCAGCCAGCCTCAGCCTCAGCCTCCATTCTAGCCAGCTTCAGCCTCAAGCCTCATTCCTGCCTTCACCTCGTCCACGAGCTTCAGTCTGCTTCCAGCCTCGGCCTCAGCTCAGCCTGCCTCAGCAGCAGCCTGCCTCAGCATTCAAAATGTGGCCCGGGAATGAAGTTCTGGGAACTCGAAGAACACGAAGTGGCCTACAGTTGGCTCCGGGCATTCAAAATCATGCCCAAGAATGGAGTTCTGGGAACTCGAAGACCACGAAGTGGCCTACAGTTGGCTCCGGGCATTCAAAATCATGCCCAAGAATGGAATTCTGGGAACTCGAAGAACACGAAATGGCCTACAGTTGGCTCCGGGCATTCAAAATCATGCCCAGGAATGGAGTTCTGGGAACTCGAAGACCACGAAGTGGCCTACAGTTGGTTCCGGGCATTCAAAATGTGGCCCGGGAATGGAGTTCTGGGAACTCGAAGAGCACGAAGTGATGTGCCTACTGTAAAGCGAAAAAACGATCCCCCCGGCAAACCCCAACGGCCCCCCAACGGCCCCCCAACGGCTCCCCAACGGCTGCCCAGACCCCCCTGTGGAGTAATGTGCTGCTCTCTTTTTACACCATTAGAAACCTATCAGTCTTCGCTGTTAGGTAACAAATCAGCGCACCAATCCCCAGCACGACTCGCCCTCGCCTGCACGAGGAAATTGGCATGCTGCCGCGCCCACCTGGGGATGTTGATCAGCGTATGGTGCCCAGCCTGAAACAAGTCGAACTTCTGGCCATAGGTGTTGACGATGTGCGGGTCGCCGACGCCAGCGACCGTCGGGCTGGCCATCAGATTGGGCGTCAGGCTCGGCGTCGGGATGGATGTCGGGCTGGATGTCGCGCTGTATGTTGGGCTTCGGGCTGGGCGTCGGGTTGGGCGTCGTCGCAGTCAGGGTGGGCGTGGGGCTTAGCGTCGGGTCGGACGTAGTCGCGGAAGCCGGGCTCGACGTCGGGCTCGGCGTCGGCGCCTGTATGCAAATCCACTTCGCCTCATGCAAACCGCCATTGTCAGACATTCCGGATGTTCTTCCGCATCCACCAACACCAATGACACTTCAACCTTTCAGTCAACGTCGCAAGTTACAATCCAAACAGAGATGCTGCTTGTGCACATGTGGTTGAATCATATATCGGGCTCGCACCACTAGGACAGCCTTGACGCCCAACTGGCCAACGCTGAATCTTCCGTTGTCGAACGCAAAGCAATAATAATCCGTTCTGTCTCAAGCAATCCGGCAATACTTGCTTCACGTGGCACTGGAAGTTAAGTGCATAAGGCGAGAAATAATCGGCCTTCCAGAACGAACACCTGCAGTCCGATTCTTGCAGAACAAATCCCGCACACTCAAGAAAACTTGAGCAAACTGTCATGCATCCGTCAACATCGACGTTGTAGCCCTGGCCGTAATTGGAAGATTGTCCAGAACTCCACGCGTAAATACCGGCGGCGCCACAGGCAGTGCCATGCATCACTTCGTACGAATACTGGCCAGTGTAGCCAATAAGACCACTCATGCCCACGAAGACTCTGCCGGCGTGCTTGTTCAAATGAGGCACGCCCCCCTGATCATCGTGGGTATGCAAACCTGCCGCGACCTCTCCAGCTGCAGCGGCAAGCAGCGCTCGCGTCACGGTGGCAATCATCATTCTCCGAACCTGAGGGTGCAGGAGATTGGAGTTAGGTCGGGCGTGTCCTACAAGCGGATTTGGGACGAAAACTTAAAAAGTAAGCCCCAAAAAATCAAAATTATCCCGGCAAAGCAACCTAACAGCGATGTGTAGAAGCATATCTGAAACCATTCCCCTTAAGATTCACATGAAAATCCAGTTGTCGAATCCTGCTGTTCTCGCAGTCGTAGTCGCATTCGCGATGACAGTCGCAGCGGCAACGGCAGTCGCAGTCACAGCCTCAGCCTCAGCCTGCCTCCTCCTCCTCCTCCTCTTTCTCCTGCTCCTCCTCCTCCTCCGTCCTCCTCCCTCCTCCTCCTCAACCTCCCCCCTCTTCCTCCTGCTCGTCCTCGTTCTCGTCCTCCTCGTCTAGCTCGTCTCCCTCCCCTTGTGGTCTCGATCCTCCTCCTCCCTCCTCCTCCTCCTCCTGTGGGGTCCTCGTTCGCTCTCCACCTGTGCTCTCCCCCCCCCCTCCTCCTCCTCCTCCTCCTCGTCCTCCTCCTCCTCCTCCTCTTCCTCCTCCTCCTCCTCCTCCTCCTCCTGGTAGTCCTCCCCCTCCCCTCCTCCTCCTCCTCCTCCTCCTCCTCTTCCTGGTCGTCCTCGTTCTCGTCCTCCTCGTCTTGCTCGTCCTCCTCCTCCTGGTGTTCTCTCCTCCTCCTCCTCCTCCTCCTCCTCCTCCTCCTGGTGGTCCTCGTTCTCCTCCTCCTGGTACTCTCCCCCCCCCTCCTCCTCCTCCTCCTCCTCCTCCTCCTCCTCCTCCTCCTCCTCCTCTTCCTCCTCCTCATCCTCCTCCTCCTCCTCCCCCTCCTCCTGGTACTCCTCCCCCTCCCCTCCTCCTCCTCCTCCTCCTCCTCCTCCTCTTCCTGGTCGTCCTCCTCCTCCTGGTCGTCCTCCTCCTCCTGCTCGTCCTCCTCCTCCTCCTGCTCGTCCTTCTTCTCCTGCTCCTCCTGCTCCTCGTCCTGCTCCTGCTCGTCCTCGTCCTCCTGGTCTTGCTCGTCCTCCTCCTCGTCGTGCTCTTGCCCCTGCTGAAAATGTGGCCCAGGAATGGGAGTTCTGGGAAGTCGAAGAGCACGAAGTTGCCTACAGTTGGCTACGGGCATTCAAAATGTGGCCCGGGAATGGAGTTCTGGGAACTCGAAGAGCACGAAGTGGCCTACAGTTGGCTCCGGGCATTCAAAATGTGGCCCGGGAATGGAGTTCTGGGAACTCGAAGAGCACGAAGTGGCCTACAGTTGGCTCCGGGCATTCAAAATGTGGCCCGGGAATAGAGTTCTGGGAACTCGAAGAGCACGAAGTGGCCTACAGTTGGCTCCGGGCATCCAAAATGTGGCCCGGGAATGGAGTTCTGGGAAATAGAAGAGCACGAAGTGTGTGACTGTTGCATCCGGTTATTCTAAATGTGGCCCGGGAATGGCGTTCTGGGATCTCGAAGAGCACTTTGTGTGTGACTGTTGCATCCGGGTATTCAGAATGTGGCCTGGGAATGGAGCTCTGGGAAGTCGAAGAGCACGAAGTGTGTGACTGTTGGTGAAAAACGAGCCCGGCACCCTGCCGCCCGGCAACTCCCCAACACCTGCCCGGACCCCCCTGTGGAGTGATCTGTGAGCTCTTTTGAGTCGACTAGAAGCCTATCAGTCTACGCTGTTAGGTAAAAACCTCCTGATCGCCCGCCGGGCGGTCGCATAGGTATTTTAAAATTATCCCGGCAAAGCAACCTAACAGCGATGTGTAGAAGCATATCTGAAAGCATTCCCCTTAAGATTCAGATGAGAATCCAGTTGTAGAATTCTGCTGTTCTCGCAGTCGTAGTCGCATTCGCGATGACAGTCGCAGTGGCAACGGCAGTCGCAGTCACAGCCTCAGCCTCAGCCTGCCTCAGCCTCAGCCTCAGCCTGCCTCAGCCTCAGCCTGCCTCAGCCTCAGCCTCAGCCTGCTTCAGCCTCAGCCTCAGTCTGCCTTCAGCCTCGGCCTCAGCCTCAGCCTGCCTCAGCCTCAGCCTGCATCAGCCTCAGCCTCAGCCTCAGCCTGCCTCAGCATCAGCCTGCCTCAGCCTCAGCCTCACCTCAGCCTGCCTCTGCCTCAGCCTCAGCCTGCTTCAGCCTCAGCCTCAGTCTGCCGTCGGCCTCGGCCTCAGCCTCAGCCTGCCTCAGCCTCAGCCTGCATCAGCCTCAGCCTCAGCACGAAGCGACCCAGCTAGAAGGACAAAGCGCTGAATGTACACCGATGTGTTCGACGACTGCGTATGTAATGATGTGACGATATACAGACTGAGCCCTTCGTGAATGTCTACATGTTTTTCTGACGCCTACAAACGGCGCTGACGTGTGTGAGAAAATTGTCCGCGCAGCAAAAGCCGGCGAAGCGTGCGGGAGCTCGCATGCTGAGACAGACTACGTCTGCAGACCGCCAGCTGCAAAAGTTGCGAGCGGCTCTTGGAAGATGTTTACGGAACGGAGCTACGGTGTCTGAAAACATTGGCATCGAAGGGAAGAGCCTCGGAGCCCTGCAACCTGAGAAACACCGCAGGAACTCGCATACTGAAAAGGAATGCATTGCAAACCGCACGCTGCGAACCCTGCAGGCTGAGAAGCACCGCAGGATGTCGCATGCTGAAAAGCACTTGTACTGCAGAGCGCTAGCACTCCATCTCGGGCTCGGACCCCCCCGTCCTGATCCAGAACGTGTCCGGCCACGGCCTGAAAATGCCGTTCCAACTCCCGAGGATCAGCTGGCACTCCGGCTCTGGGACACTCCAGTACGTCTTGAGCACCTTGAGCCAGGCCCCATCTCGGGATCCCCACAGCACGCTGTACTTGACCGAGACCGTGCCGAACTCATAACAATTGACCTCCGAAGGACCTGCGAGTGCAGGCTGAGAAACACCACGCGATTGCAGGGCACGGCATTGCGTGTCACATGAGTGCAGGCTGAGAAGCACCACATCTCGTTTGCCAGAGATCACTCCCAGGTTATTTGATCCCGCAACACCAGCCACGGCGTAGCTGCCACAGGGGCCGCAGATAGCAACGGTTCGGTCACCCAATTGGCGTTCCGGTGAGTCACAATTCGCGCGTGGCTCCACGAGCCTGTGTAGCGCGATTTGCGGGGCACCAGTGTGCTGTAGGTGTTGTTGCCGTAGCAGAAGACGGCCTCTGGAGCCCAGTGCGGATTCCAGCGGACAGCGTAGACCCTGTGGACGCCATTGCGGATGACGTCGCGCGCACCTTCGATATGTGCCACCCATCGAAGCCAGTCAAATGCTGAGCCATCGGTGATGTCAACAGCACCTGGGGCAGTCTCGCCATGGTGGTAGTGCAACAGCGATTGGAGAGCGGCGCTGGCTTCGTCGCGGCCCACAATCTGGCGCGAGCAGGCTGCCTCTTGCAGGTGCTCCTGTGTGAAGAGCAGTGGGGCATCACCGCCAGTCTCGGCAGGCTGAGCAGCGCCACCGTCAGGCACGGCAGTCTGAGCAGCGCCGCCACGAGGAACATGAGGCTGAGCAGCGCCAGGCTCAGGCACGGCAGGCTGAGCAACGGCGCGTGGTGGACCGACATAGGTGGGCTCATCGGGTCGGCCGTTCTTATGGTAATGCAGGCGCATGGCTGAACCGTCTGCACGACGGAACTCGAAGAAGTGCCTGCCGTGGCCATCCGTGTTGGAGTAGTTAGGGTCGCGCTCTGTCTCGATGATGCGAAAGAGAACCTGGGCGATGCCCTGCCCGATTATGCGCTCAGCGAAACCCGGAGCGGCAGACCGAAGCAGTTGCTTCCAGTCGTAGGACGGGTCGTTTGTTACGTCTTTGAACGACAAGTTGTTGACAATGCACTCGGCGCGCAGCGCGCGCTGCCACTGGCAGGCGGTCTTGCCGCCCATCCCTGGTGTACGGCGGATGTCTTCGAGGTGAGCCTGCTCAAAGACCACGTCGACACCTGGCTGAGGAGTCGGTGCGGGCGGATCCGGCAGAATCTCCCACGGGCCATCGCACGGGGCCGGGGGTGGCGGGGGCGATGCCTTGCCGCGTGCTGGCATTGTGACAAGGCAGGCTGAGGAGCACCGCCGCGGCTGGACGGCCAGGTGAAACTCGAGCAAACATGGTTAAGGATGATGATGATGGTGTTGATAGGAAACCCGGTATCAGCGAGTTGATGTACAATGAGGTGTCCGCAAACGAGACACTGCTGTCAACGCTGTTATAACTAACCACAAACGAGACACTGCTATCAACGCTTGCACAATTAAAAAGAAACGCTGGCATTGACACTACTAGCAATACCAAAGTGGAGTTTAAACGAGGCACTGCCATCAACCGATTCAACTTCCAATGAAAGAAGATCACAAATGAGTTCACTCTGAAGTGACCCATGGGTATCAATGCGAGAAGTCTCTGCAAACTATTCACTCATGGCGACCGCCGCGCACACGCGTGTAGGAAATCGTTGATGATGATAGTGATAATGGAGTGGGGGCCAGTAATGCAGATACACTGCTGTGCATTCACTTGCTGCGAAAAGAAACTCTGTATGAATGAGTTGATATATAATGAGTTGTCCACAAACGAGACACTGCTATCAACGCTTGTATAAGTAAAAAGAAACGCTGCTATCGACACTTCCCCCAATACTAAAGTTGTCTTTAAACGAGTCACTGCCATGAACGGCTTCAACTACAGTGTAACGAAAGGAACTGCAGGCTGAGAAGCACCGCAGGCCAACGTGAACCAGTCGTGGTGATGAGGATGAGTGAAATCTGCGATGATGATAGCGATCATGAAGTCGGTTGTAGGAACCCACTTTTGTAGTAACCAACATACACTGGTATGCATTCACTTATGGTGAAAGGAAACTCGGTATCAGTGAGTTGATATAGAATGAGTTGTCCGCAAACGAGACACTGCTATCAACGCTTTTAGAACGAAGCGAACCCATCAGAACACTGTTATCAACGGAAAGAATGCTGTAGAAGGACAAAGCGCTGAATGTACACCGATGTGTTCGACGACTGCGTATGTAATGATGTGACGATATACAGACTGAGCCCTTCGTGAATGTCTACATGTTTTTCTGACGCCTACAAACGGCGCTGACGTGT